TCCAATAAATTCTTTACTAAGATTTGAATAATGTTTTTATCATTTATATTGTCTTAATGTTCTTTATTTGGTATGCTTTGGCCTTCACTTGATGCTGGTGCCTGTCTTCATGATGTAGTGAGCCAGATGTGCTGTTTTAAGGTGCTTGAAAACAAAAGAATTGAAAATATTTTTGTTTACAGCCATGGTGCAGTGATGTGTAAAAAATGTTAGTGGGGCATGGTAGCATGTGCTGGCTTTGCCACTGTGATGTTGGGCTGATTTGCTGGTTTTCTTATACAGTGATGAACAAAATGCAGTCTGATTGGCTGATATGTTTGTGACAAACTGCATTGTTTTTGGTGGTGCACACTAGAATTTGTAGCAAAATATTTGTTATTTATAATGGTTCCATATGTCTCTCACAAGTTGACTATCACATGTTTGACTAAGTGCAAAATTAATATATGTGTTGATTGATTGGCATTTGACCAAGTCATTTTTGTGAATAAGGATAAAGTATAGCTGGCAGGAAATGGTTGAGGTACACACAAGACTTGTTGAAGGCCAAAAGGCCAAAAAGACTTATGACTAAAAGACCAAAAGGCTTATGGAATCTATTACAGGAACTTCATAACTATTTATTGCATCTCCATATCAGCTCTGAATGCTCAGATTAACAATGCACAGTTATTTTTCTTATCTGCCATGTAATACGGGATGACTAGGAGTTTGCATTATCATGCAACGCAGCACAAATAAATGAGCACCATTTCATGGAGAACCTAGTGGTGCTGTTTGTAAAAATGTGCCATATATTACCAACAAGTGAACATTCATGATTAGTGACACATGTGATATTGCTGGCAATATCATTGGCATATCCTGTTTACAAGCAATATCAAAAGACCATGTTTGTGAAAGCAGACCTCTTGCTCCCTTTAGAAGTGGTTTGAACACAAATGATGAATCCATATGATTTTGATGGTCTGTAAACAGGTCTCCCACAGCTGTCATATGTGTACAATCAGTGGTCTCCAGTTATTGCTCTGAGAACCGATTGTATAGTTTTACAGAGTTAAGACCACTAGTTTGACCATACAATATGGTTTTTCCTGACTGCTGCTACATGGATCGAGCTGCCAAGCAGACAAGTTTTTGGCGACGGCGCAGGACGTTCCGTTTGTCCGCTGTAAGTATGAGCCATTGAAAATACCCAGCCTCATTTCGTTCGCTCGTTGTGGAATCCTGTCCATGCCTTCCAATGGTTGTTGAGAGATTTCTCTCGATATGCGTTTGACAGCTTTACTTGGCCCTCTGCTGTTATCATTCCATCACGTTGCACACTGCGTGTCATAGGCCTTGTGCCCTGTGGCGGTAAGACAGTTGTGACATTGTGTGGCCCTGTATGATAAGTGCGTAATTCCGTCACGTTTTACAGCACTACTATGGGGGGCCAGAAACTGCTACAAGTGGCAATCATTAAAGTGGAGAAGGCGCTCCAATATGCGACGAAGTGGCGCAGGCAAAAGAAAAAGGACATGACTGAGGTAAGTACCAGCAATAGCACGGTAGTTATTCGGTACCAGTTTTCTGCGTTTGCATCGTGGTTTGAAGGGTGACTGAGTATTTGGGATTTGTCACTATTGTGGCTGAGTATTGGGATTTGTTTGAAGTGGCTAGGCTGGCTCAGTACGCGGGGCCCTGAGATCGGACCCGGCCCGCGGACTGCGAAGCAACCCATCCCGAATGTTACATGCGCTGGCACAGGGTATGTTAGGGCCATTATCCAGTTTGACAGTGGCGTAACTTTCGCGCAATCCACTTTGGTGTATTCATGTTTGCTGTCACGCGATCCGAGCGAAATACCCGCGGATGGGATTCGAACTGAGGTCCTCTGGATGAATGACAATGCTCGCTGGACATGACTGTATGTGCCACCCTCAGATGGGGAGCATCGTCTGACTGCTTGGCTGCGGAGCACGGCGCCTCGCTGCCCGCTCCATGGAGGGGCTGATGCGGTGCAACATCCTGCTCAACCGCAAGGTGCTCTCCGACCTCGCCATCTGGAGCCAAGGACATTCAGGTAGCATGCGGAAGAGGGGGTGTGGCGGCTGGGACTGTTTCTCCCAGCCATCTATGCGGAGGTCGTGGCATGCGTAAATGGGCTAAGGCAGGCGTGGCTGTTCGTGTGGTTCATGCACGGCTCGTTCGGTCCATATACTGTCATGTTGAGTGTGCGAAAGTCGAAGGGTCGCCTGGGTTGTGTTGTGTGAAGCGAATAATCGTTATCAGTTGATTCCCTTGAGTTGCCCCCACATAAGGTACAGGCATGTTGTGGAAAAACATGGATGCAGCTGCACAGTCAATTCCAACTAGAACAGGT